TTTTATTTATAAAGATAAACAGTCAACAGCACTAGTCCCTATTATGGAAATGTCAGGTGTGGAACAATGTGAGGGTCAGTAATTGATGACAGAATTTTCATTTGTAGTTGAAGTAGTCCTTTAATTTACTGTAAACTACACTTTTGAGGTCAGTAAGATTTTTTTTAATGACTTTGGAGAAAAATACTCATTTATTTGATCAAAATATAGTAAAAACAGTAATATTGTTATTATTTTTTCAATTTAACTCTTAACTCTTTTCTAGTTAAATATATTTCAAAAAGTAAATTCCTCTGATGGCAAGGCTACATTTTTTAGCAACATTTCTCCAATCCATTTCTTATTATTATCATCAATGTAATGGATCTCCAATCCATTTCTTTATTATTTTTTTGTTGTTGTTGAAACTGTGATCTTTTTTCAGGATTCTTTGATGAAACTTCAAAAGCACTGCATTTATTTCAAATAGATTTTTTTGCATCAATAATACATCAAATGTAACAAGTCACTATGGCAATATCACAAGGCAATATCTGAACTATCTTTAAAATTAAACTGGAAAAAAAGTTTCCTGTGCTACTTCAACTTCACATGAAATGACCAAAGCCATCACAAATCTAACATTCCACTTTTAGTTCTGATGTTTTCAGTGAAATGACATCAAAAAGATGGAGAAGTAAGTAACAGCATAACTGTCATAACATGCAGACTGGAGTTTAAACACTACAGCGCACCAACAAAAACCAGGACAGGAAATTTCCACCAATGAGATCAAAAGAATTCTCTGCAAGCTTTTGGCAGTCATGTAAACTTTCAACCTTGAGCTGCTGAATAGTCCACCAAACTGATTCAAGCAAAATGTGCAATGTTCAAAACAAATTCAACAACAATGGCTATAGAAGATTTGATTGCAGCTTCCTCATTCCTCCCTGTAGTTCGGTTAGTCTTTCGACATTTTTATTTTCCTATGTTGCCATGACAGCAAAGAGAGAACAGCGTGCACATCTGAGCAAACATGAGCAACTGATGACTGCTAAGGCAACAATTAAATCATACACTGAATTTCACACTGTTAGAGCAGATGTCCTAATCCACAGGTTTATCCATCACTAGACAAGGACATGAGGCTACACCCATCACTTTTACTTATGGGTGAAAGGTCTCTCATTGATGACTCACTCACTGATGCAACAGAACTAAATCACGCTGCGAATCAGATAAATTTACTTGAGTTCTTGCCACTTGATCCAGAGTAATATCATAAAGACAGTATACCTAGGCTAAACAAACAAACGGTATCTCAGGTTTTGTCCCACAATCTGCTTGACAGATCGCACAATGGCCCGTGGGCACCAGCTGCAGAGAGACATGGGCACGCAGAAAAGAGGAATGAGCAGATGGCGGCCCTGCGTGAGAGAGATGAGGGGAGGGGAACAGAAGATTCAGACAGGAAGGCTCTGGCTCCTGGGGAGGCTGCTCATCCACTCACTGCAGCCCAGGAGGGATGAGAGAGAACAGGCTGCTCAGATGCAGGGAGCTGGGCGGAGACGAGATGACCGGGATGAAGATAGGAGGTCAGAAAGGACTACGAAAACAAGCACGGTGTGACATTCAGTGACGTCAATGGTATTTCTCCAGGACGTAAACACAAATGACTGCCAAAAGGCTTTATCTACCAGGCCTGTGTTATATAGTTAAACAAAGGCAATGTTTTAAAGCTGAACATATTCATATTGCTTTTTGCTAAATTAACAGACTTGTGATCATCCTCATATGAGCTAGATTTGAGAAACACTTTGGTTTGTATTTTAGAATTTGTACATGTAATACACTGGGAAAGGCTCCAGCATCCAGCAACCCCACATAGTAAATATATTGTGGATATTATATATGCATTATATTATGTATATTAATAATTGAATTATAGCATTATATTTACAGGCAATAAGTATTTTGCATTTATATTAGTAAGTCTCAGAGCTGATTAAAAACAGGATTATAAACAAAAAAATAGCGAAAACTTGTGTAGACTTGGATAATGTTTTTTTCAGGAATGTTTACAATAATATATTCATATATTAAATAAATAATATTGTATTTGTATATATTATTTTTTCAGCTATACATTTTATATATATATATTAATATATACAATATTTCCAGGAGGTTATTTAAAAAACATGTTAAACAAAGGTAGTGGAAGAACAATATTAGTCTAAATCAATAGAATGTAGGCCAATGTGTTTCCTCCCAGATGATAACATCAACACCAGGCATCTGAAAAATAGCAGTACACACCAGAAAAACTATGCAGTCTTCGCTTAGCAGACTCTTAACGTAATAATGATCCAGTGGTTGTACAGGAACCCAAGCTGACCAGATCACATTGTCAGAAATCTTACATTATAATGAGCAGGTTTCATATGATCCCTGCTAATCAACACAACATAAATTCTCATTTCTGGGTTTAAACTCTAACGTTACATATGAATGACATAACACAAAGGGCATAAGAAACATGAGATGCTAACCATTAGAAAGATAAGAAAGAGGTAGAAAGCTATCAAACTTGTGATTCCATAAACTGTATTCTATTTTTAATTTTAGACTTCCCGTGACAAGTTATAACTTAAATTAGAAAGACGGTTTATCTGCAAGATATTAAAATACAAAGTCTAAAAAGTCTAAAATTAATTAATGGAATTGGCACGATTAAAAAATGGAAATAATGCAGAGTTGCAAATAGAGGTAATAGAGGTTGCAGCACATTTACAGCAGGTGTTTAATGCTAACATATGGTTCAACGATGCTGCAAGTTAAGGCCACGCAAGTGAAATAAATAGTTACAGACATTCTTACTGACTAAAAAATAAATAAAGACATAAATATAATATTTTGCAGCTGAAACGTGCCAGACCATGGTCGGGTTCTGGTACTTTCATAAGTTTTAACAGTATTTATAGACACCATAAATTACAAAATAACGAACTAACGTTAATTAAAATGTGCAAAAGTGCTCTAACCCGAATAAAATCCCTGCAAATGTCTATCCCGACTCACTGTCACTTTACCAATGTTCATCAAAATTAAAGAAATTAAACAACCGCTGTTCTTCTTCCTCCAGCTGCTGGCTGTGCTAACAAACAAGCTAGCTAACTTCTGAAAGTTGAGTTTTGTTGCATTTCTAATCTGTGCCGACATGTCACGTCACGTTCTCAAAACAATTCAGCTACCTTGATCGGCTTCCTCCATCCTGTCTTTGCGGCTTCTTTATGTTGTGAGTTATTCTGATCCTTGCGGTCCCGCTTTCCCACTTCAATCTTGCAAATTTGAGCTCAAAGCTGCCACTGCAACTAGGCTGCTGCGCGAGGTGGGGTGGGGTCGTAAGTGACGTCAGGACGCACAGCACGTAGAGATGTAAACAGAAAGACGGGCGCGAGGACCCACCTGGCGCGCGGCGCCCATGATGAAGCGTTTTATGAGCGGAAAAATTCATTTCGAATCATCATTAAACGATAAATAAATGAACTAAAATAAACTAATCGGAATAATCGTTTTATTAGAAATAACTTAATCATAATTGTATAATTCCCATTTATATTTGGCAAGTCAATAAAACCAACTGGCTAATTTAGAATTTTTTTTTTATACTTTTTACGCCGTGCTCAATGTATGTTATAAAATAAATACTGGTCTCTGTGTTGACATAAATACTAAGAAATGCAATACACGTAGCCTATAATTACAAATATTATTATTCATTTATTATTCATATTAGAATTTATTATAGCCTTTAGAATTATTAGAATTTATTATAGCCTAACAAATCATTTAAAATAAAAAACTTAAAAAAAATAAAAATAAACCGTAACAAATTGCTATTGTGTTTAAAGAAGAAAAGAAAAGAAAAGACAAAGAACAATTTGAGGAAGCCACAACATGGCCATTCACCAGGCCAGAACTAATATTAAATTGCCTTATTTTAATAAACACATTTTACCTTTCTAATTTCGACAAAAGGATACCAGAAGAGCTATTAATGGAGATATGTCTGGTCCCTCACTTTCACAGGGTGGGCTCAAAGTCCCTAATTTACCTACAATCACACAAGACACGCCCAGAGGAAGCAGTATGAGGCGCTTGTTGCTGGTTTATAAATCGTCTATCATGTTGGTGCTGTAGGAAATTACGCCACCCACTGGGTGACAGGATTTAATAATCCTACAGTAAAGTATATTTTAAACCATTTAAATAATATTCGTGTTGTGTTGTGGGACGTTTCTTAAACATCCACATATATTTCTATTCGACAATATGACAAAAACGATCGTAAACATTTTTTTAAACTATAAAAATGTTTTCAGCATTAGCATTATGCAGTAAGAACTGCTGTTTTATATTTTATTCAGTCGATTGTCTATTGAATCTATCACAATAATTGAATCTATCAGTAATAAAATTCAAGGTGATCGGAAAAGTGAAATGAACATATCTTCTTCTTCTTCTTCTTCTTCTGCAAATGAACATATCAATGACGTTTTTCAATGCAGCAATTAATTAAGGCAGCTGCATTTAAATTGACACTTAAAAGTTTTCAGCTTTCTGGATTTACTTTTTTACATTAGGATTTGTCAAATAAATTAATACATCTAAAAATGTGTGTGTGTGTGTGTGTGTGTGTGTGTGTGTTATATTAGGCTATATTATATTATATTATATAGACTATACAAATTAAAAGACAATAAAACAAGTGACCGTAAATCAGTTAAACTATTTTGCTTTTTATTGAAGACCAATACAATAATTTTTTTTTAAATATATACATAATTCAAATAAAAAAGGTTATTAAAGTTATTAATTTTTTTGTTAAAATTGTTTTTTTTATTAAAACTGTTAAAATAACAAACGAATAAAAACACACGCAAAAACACAGAGGTGACTCGAGATATTGATATCAAAAAATCAACCCGTCCTTATCTGCCACCACCTGTAAAATGCACCTATGCAGGCGCTCTTCATAACTCCGACGAACCCACCTGTCCCGAGCATCACGACTCGCGCGACAAACATGGAGCGACGTCTGTAATGCCACGCACAGGGGAGGCGTGAAAGGGATACAAGGACTTATTGGTTCGAGACGTGTACTTCTATAGAAGAAAAAACATGCGGAAAATGGGTGCAGTCATCGACACAAAAGACCCCTGGCTGTTTGGCGTCACCCCCATCTTCCTTTAACAGGAGCCCCCCCTCCTCCTCCCTCGGACCGAGATGCATTGTGGGGGAAGTCGTTGCCATTCGACCTCTGCGGGGCCTGCGCGGACGCAGACAGAACCCTCAAATTCATTATGCCTTTAAAACCCCTATTTATTTCCGCATAACCTACATACTCTCACCAGGAGGCTGGAGCGCAGAAAAACGTCTCTTTTCATGCGGAATACTTTATTTAAGAGAGCCGCAATCGGATTTTTGTTTTGTTGAGAAAGTGTAGATTGTAATTTATTTCAAGAAAATGTCCGGAGAGCGAAACCGCAGGTCGCTGGCTTTCCGAGGATGTAATTTAGTCTCTTTCTGATAATGTTTTTTTCAGGAATGTTTACAATAATATATTCATATATTAAATAAATAAATAATATTGTATTTGTATATATTATTTTTTCAGCTATACATTTTATATATATATATTAATATATACAATATTTCCAGGAGGTTATTTAAAAAACATGTTAAACAAAGGTAGTGGAAGAACAATATTAGTCTAAATCAATAGAATGTAGGCCAATGTGTTTCCTCCCAGATGATAACATCAACACCAGGCATCTGAAAAATAGCAGTACACACCAGAAAAACTATGCAGTCTTCGCTTAGCAGACTCTTAACGTAATAATGATCCAGTGGTTGTACAGGAACCCAAGCTGACCAGATCACATTGTCAGAAATCTTACATTATAATGAGCAGGTTTCATATGATCCCTGCTAATCAACACAACATAAATTCTCATTTCTGGGTTTAAACTCTAACGTTACATATGAATGACATAACACAAAGGGCATAAGAAACATGAGATGCTAACCATTAGAAAGATAAGAAAGAGGTAGAAAGCTATCAAACTTGTGATTCCATAAACTGTATTCTATTTTTAATTTTAGACTTCCCGTGACAAGTTATAACTTAAATTAGAAAGACGGTTTATCTGCAAGATATTAAAATACAAAGTCTAAAAAAATTAACATTAATTAATGGAATTGGCACGATTAAAAAATGGAAATAATGCAGAGTTGCAAATAGAGGTTTCATTAGTAGCAGCACATTTACAGCAGGTGTTTAATGCTAACATATGGTTCAACGATGCTGCAAGTTAAGGCCACGCAAGTGAAATAAATAGTTACAGACATTCTTACTGACTAAAAAATAAATAAAGACATAAATATAATATTTTGCAGCTGAAACGTGCCAGACCATGGTCGGGTTCTGGTACTTTCATAAGTTTTAACAGTATTTATAGACACCATAAATTACAAAATAACGAACTAACGTTAATTAAAATGTGCAAAAGTGCTCTAACCCGAATAAAATCCCTGCAAATGTCTATCCCGACTCACTGTCACTTTACCAATGTTCATCAAAATTAAAGAAATTAAACAACCGCTGTTCTTCTTCCTCCAGCTGCTGGCTGTGCTAACAAACAAGCTAGCTAACTTCTGAAAGTTGAGTTTTGTTGCATTTCTAATCTGTGCCGACATGTCACGTCACGTTCTCAAAACAATTCAGCTACCTTGATCGGCTTCCTCCATCCTGTCTTTGCGGCTTCTTTATGTTGTGAGTTATTCTGATCCTTGCGGTCCCGCTTTCCCACTTCAATCTTGCAAATTTGAGCTCAAAGCTGCCACTGCAACTAGGCTGCTGCGCGAGGTGGGGTGGGGTCGTAAGTGACGTCAGGACGCACAGCACGTAGAGATGTAAACAGAAAGACGGGCGCGAGGACCCACCTGGCGCGCGGCGCCCATGATGAAGCGTTTTATGAGCGGAAAAATTCATTTCGAATCATCATTAAACGATAAATAAATGAACTAAAATAAACTAATCGGAATAATCGTTTTATTAGAAATAACTTAATCATAATTGTATAATTCCCATTTATATTTGGCAAGTCAATAAAACCAACTGGCTAATTTAGAATTTTTTTTTAATACTTTTTACGCCGTGCTCAATGTATGTTATAAAATAAATACTGGTCTCTGTGTTGACATAAATACTAAGAAATGCAATACACGTAGCCTATAATTACAAATATTATTATTCATTTATTATTCATATTAGAATTTATTATAGCCTTTAGAATTATTAGAATTTATTATAGCCTAACAAATCATTTAAAATAAAAAACTTAAAAAAAATAAAAATAAACCGTAACAAATTGCTATTGTGTTTAAAGAAGAAAAGAAAAGAAAAGACAAAGAACAATTTGAGGAAGCCACAACATGGCCATTCACCAGGCCAGAACTAATATTAAATTGCCTTATTTTAATAAACACATTTTACCTTTCTAATTTCGACAAAAGGATACCAGAAGAGCTATTAATGGAGATATGTCTGGTCCCTCACTTTCACAGGGTGGGCTCAAAGTCCCTAATTTACCTACAATCACACAAGACACGCCCAGAGGAAGCAGTATGAGGCGCTTGTTGCTGGTTTATAAATCGTCTATCATGTTGGTGCTGTAGGAAATTACGCCACCCACTGGGTGACAGGATTTAATAATCCTACAGTAAAGTATATTTTAAACCATTTAAATAATATTCGTGTTGTGTTGTGGGACGTTTCTTAAACATCCACATATATTTCTATTCGACAATATGACAAAAACGATCGTAAACATTTTTTTAAACTATAAAAATGTTTTCAGCATTAGCATTATGCAGTAAGAACTGCTGTTTTATATTTTATTCAGTCGATTGTCTATTGAATCTATCACAATAATTGAATCTATCAGTAATAAAATTCAAGGTGATCGGAAAAGTGAAATGAACATATCTTCTTCTTCTTCTTCTTCTTCTGCAAATGAACATATCAATGACGTTTTTCAATGCAGCAATTAATTAAGGCAGCTGCATTTAAATTGACACTTAAAAGTTTTCAGCTTTCTGGATTTACTTTTTTACATTAGGATTTGTCAAATAAATTAATACATCTAAAAATGTGTGTGTGTGTGTGTGTGTGTGTGTGTGTGTTATATTAGGCTATATTATATTATATTATATAGACTATACAAATTAAAAGACAATAAAACAAGTGACCGTAAATCAGTTAAACTATTTTGCTTTTTATTGAAGACCAATACAATAATTTTTTTTTAAATATATACATAATTCAAATAAAAAAGGTTATTAAAGTTATTAATTTTTTTGTTAAAATTGTTTTTTTTATTAAAACTGTTAAAATAACAAACGAATAAAAACACACGCAAAAACACAGAGGTGACTCGAGATATTGATATCAAAAAATCAACCCGTCCTTATCTGCCACCACCTGTAAAATGCACCTATGCAGGCGCTCTTCATAACTCCGACGAACCCACCTGTCCCGAGCATCACGACTCGCGCGACAAACATGGAGCGACGTCTGTAATGCCACGCACAGGGGAGGCGTGAAAGGGATACAAGGACTTATTGGTTCGAGACGTGTACTTCTATAGAAGAAAAAACATGCGGAAAATGGGTGCAGTCATCGACACAAAAGACCCCTGGCTGTTTGGCGTCACCCCCATCTTCCTTTAACAGGAGCCCCCCCTCCTCCTCCCTCGGACCGAGATGCATTGTGGGGGAAGTCGTTGCCATTCGACCTCTGCGGGGCCTGCGCGGACGCAGACAGAACCCTCAAATTCATTATGCCTTTAAAACCCCTATTTATTTCCGCATAACCTACATACTCTCACCAGGAGGCCGGAGCGCGGAAAAACGGCTCGTTTCATGCGGAATACTTTATTTAAGAGAGCCGCGATCGGATTTTTGTTTTGTTGAGAAAGTGTAGATTGTAATTTATTTGAAGAAAATGTCCGGAGAGCGAAACCGCAGGTCGCTGGCTTTCCGAGGAGGTGGATTAGCCGTCACCGGTGCCAGTGCCGTCGGAGGCAACAGCTGTGAGGCCCCGGCCTGTCAAGACCGACATCTGAACGGGAACAGACCGGATCAAGAGGACGACAGGGATCTGGGGGCGAAAGGACCATCGCTGGGGAAAGTCGAGGGCGGGGGGTCCGTGAGCGACAGCACGGAGCCGGAGGCAGAGGAGGACGACGACCCGGAAGGGGGCAGTTGGACAGCGGGTAAAGATCATGACAGAGGCGCTTTAAACAGCATAATGGTGAAAACCGAGGGCTGTAAGTGGGCGACTGGCAACGGCGTGAACCGGGAGGACTGTAGCGCGGGAGAGGCGGAGGAAGCGGCCGCTAGAAAACCGCTGCTGGAGATGAGACCTCAGACGCTGCTGCTGCAGAAACACTCGCTCTTCCAAGCCTCCTGGCTGCAGGAGTTTCCCTGGCTCAAATTCAGCCAGGAAACAGGGCTGATGTCTTGCTCCTGGTGCCATAACATCGCCACCAACAACAGAGACGAGCTGGTGAAAGGCAGCCGGAATTACAAGCGGGCCTTGCTGCTGAGGCATCACCTGTCCTCGGAGCACGGCAGGAATGACCCGACCAGACAGGTACGTCCACACCGCGGTATAATGGGGACGGGAACACTCGGATACGCGACGGAGCCGACCTGGGCAGTGCTGTTCGGTGTGTAGTTAACAAATGTCGACGTTTTCCCGGCTATTTAGGAGCGGAAATGCTGTTTTTAAAGCCGTTTAGCGAGCTAACAGGTCTGTTAGCTATAGACTCGGGTATAGACTTAGCATATGTGCGCTAACTGGATCAGCGCTGTCAGTCGGTGAGCTGAGCTAAAAAAAAACCTCGACTAACTTAGGTGATGTAAAGCGTAAAATCAATTTTCTGTGTTTTTATGGTCTTTTGAACCCTCGCGTTTTATATTATTATAATTATTTACATGATTTGCAATTAGATATGTATTATTAAACAGAACCAAAAGTATCATAAAGTGAGACCGTGGCTCAAAACGTATGTCCTCGTTTCCTGCACTGCACTGTAATTATCAACCCTGGTTGTCATGGTTACTAACCTGATTGCTACAGAGGTCACACAATGGCAAGGGTTTGACCCTGCTACCTTTGGGGAGCCGCACCCCTTCCCAACCCCCTCGCTGTAAAAAGTGACCTCTGGCACATCTCACCCTCCCCTTTTAGGGCACCTAAATTAGAGGCATTGTGTTAGGTGACTCCCCAAGATCCATAGATAGTGTGTGCGACTTGCTACATTGGGTCAGAGTGAATTATGTCACCTGTAATGACAGCACTGCCTGATATGTGCAGGCCACTGCAACCAACAGAATAAGATTAGGCTTGAATAAATCATATCATATCAGCAGCTGAGAAACACTTTTGTGAAATAATGCACTGTAATAGTGAAATGTAATTTATATTTGATACTACTGCATTCTGTATCCAAAGGAATCGTACGATGCCAAGACATGTTGTTTAAGATAAATAGTTATTGATTGATTTTTTTTTTTATGCTTTTGATTCCCTGTCCTTTATCAAGCCACAAAATGATTGATTCATGTACTAAATCCTATCTGTTGCTCTTCAGAAGATGTCGTGTTACTGGTTTGCCAGTAAAATCCCTTAGGATTGTGTGGTATGATAATGTCCAGTCTAATCAGGGTGACACAAAGTGTTCCACTAACTCAATTTATACCCCTCACTAATTAGGAAGGAAAGGAGGAGGAGAGATTACCACCGCCTCCCTAGCAACAGAGGGGTTAAGACGCTACAGAAGATCGGTTACGCTTTCCTGTTCAATCACTTTGCTCTGTCAATCAACCGTTTTACAATACTATAACTGTATGTTGCGTAATATGTGGAGTAAATGTGCTATGCTACATTTATTTTCCATATATAATATAGTATTTGTGATTTTAGTACACTCTTAAAAATAAAGGTTTGTGTGAAAAAGGCGGTTTTCTCAGTGATGCCATATAGAGGAACCATTTTGGGTTTCCCAGAAAACTGAACAGTTATGAAAATAACTATTTTTTTCATAGTGTGAAGAATATTTTAATATAAGCTTTTCCAACTATAAAGAACATTTTGGTTCCATGCAGTTTAGGTTCCTTACTGGCATCGATGGTTCCATGAAGATCCTTTAACATCCATGAAACCTTTTCAATGTTGAAAAGGTTCTTCATAATGGAAAAAGGTTCTTTAGATTATTAAAATGTTCTTCACTCTAAGAACAAAAATGGTTCTTTTCAAAACTGATCACTGAAAGGTTCTTTTTTTAACTAAAAACTTTTCTACTATAGCATCGATGAGAAAACCCCCTTTTGGAACCTTTATTTTTAAGAATGTGGATGTTAAAGGTTATTGATGGAATCATTGATGCCAATAAACAATCATTATTTTTAAGAGTGATTTTGTCATTGACATCTCAGCAATAAGAGTAGTGGACATGGAGATCACGAGATTGTGGAAGAATAGTGTCTTAAAGTAGCCTAATTGGGTGAAACATTAGGACGGCTGCTGTCTGAGTAAAGAAAGGCTGTTCTGATAGGCCACATCCTCCAATAGCCAATTTCATAATTGTGATCTATTATGTTCTTCAGTGCAGCAACTGTCCGTCATAATGGGCTAAATTTCTTCACTGGTCCATATCAAACTACTCTAATTGAATTACCCCTAAAGAAGGGTATCTGGGTTGCCTCACTCTCCAGACTAGACTTCGCCCTCAAAGTATTTGCCCTCTGTTGCTGTTATTAGTGAGCCGCAATGAAGATGAGGGTCTCCACCCCTGTACTGTCTGCTGCTGTGAGATATGTGTGTATTGGGGGGGCTGTTGTGTTGTTGGTGCTGGTGGGGGAGAATTCCCTGGAATTTTGTATCGATGAGCCCTGCTCTTTGTTGGGAGGCCCAGATCCTGGCATTCCCCTCCCACACCTTGGGTCAAGCACACTGCTGCATTGTTCATGCATCTGGATGAGGGGACCAGGCACTGGCCTCAGGGGCTGGGATGGCTCAGGAAGACTATGCGCAAGGAAAACAAAACCGCCATCCCTGTTGTCTGAGGCACAATGTCCCCCTAACGTGCCACTTGTGTAGTGTATTCTCACCGCGGCCCTGGTAGGTGATAAAGGCACGGCTCTCTGTTGCTGAAGGCTATGTGTTTAAATTTTGGGGAGCTATTGTTGGTTTATGGGGAATGGAACATGCTGGAAGTGTACAATAGAATAATGGGTGTTGGCAACTCATCGCCTGAAGAGCTTTAGGCGACTGTCTGTTTAACTGCAGCGCAGGAGAAGGGCAGCGGTATTGGTGGTGGTTGTATAATGTTCCCGTTTCGCATCAAAATGAAAGTCTGGGGTGGGAAACCAGAGAGAGAAACCACAGCAAGTTTCGTGTGCAACACTTTTTAATCCGAAAACACACCGTTTCCCATTTTCTTTGATGTGTCACATTCTGAACGATACTTTTTTTTTTCTTCTACATGCACTACTATTAAAAGGTTTGGGTCGGTAAAATTTTACAAATGTTTTTGAAGAAGATATCTGTGTATTTTTCAATTAAAAGTCCAGTAAAACAGTATTTTTTTATTTATTTTAAAATGTAATTTTTTCTTATGATGGATTTTCAGCAGCCATTACTCTTGTCTTCAGTGTCACATGATCCTTTAGAAATCATTCTAAAATGCTAATTTGCCGCTCAAGGAGCATTTTTTAATCATCATACAATACATTTTTATTATCAACAGTTATTGTTGAAAACAGTTGTGCTGCTTAACATTTTTGCGGAAACAGTGCTGCATATTTTTTTACAAGATTCTTTGGTGAATAAAAAATACAAAAGCACAGAATTATTTTTGAAATGTAAATCTTTTGAAACATTCTAAATTGTCTTTTCTGACACTTTTAAAGAATTGAATGCATTCTTTCTAAATAAAAGTAGGCCCTATTCAATTCTTTTTAAACTTACTAATCCACAACCTTACAACAGTAGTGTAAATGAAATCCAAACATGTCAGGTTTTTATGAGTAAAAAAAAAATTGTCTGAGAAACACAATTAGCATCAACCATATGAGATCATAATTTTGGCATTTATAGATATTGTAAAAGTAATGTCTTTTCCTTTCGTTGTTTGGTTGTACAGTTTGCACAGGCCAAATGGCTTACAAAAAGAGGGCACAAATGACCTAGCAGCACAACTGTAGACAATAACAATAACAGACATTCAATTAAGAAAAAGACTGTGCCAAATGTCAAACTGTCACCACAGACTCATTTTGACAGGGTTTAATGGGGGGAATCTTGTTTACACATCTGGAGAAAGGATGAACCGTGTGCGAGTGTACATGAGAGAACGAAAGAGAGAGAAAGAAAAAGGTTAATTCTGAACTAGCATGTCCTGACACCCGCTTTCGACTGCCACCTCATCTGTCCTCTCCATAGCTTGGCTTGGCCCACAGTCAGGCTCTCTCTGGATAGACAGAGGCGAACAATAGTGGGGACATTGTGACACCACAAACGGACGTTCATTCTTATCTAACACCCCTGTTTCTCCAACTCATCCTCATTCTTCAAACCTGCACTTCACTAGATCTGTCTGAACTCAACAGTGCTCCCATTTAGACTACATTTTATTTTCTTTATTTTAAAGTAGTTTACAAAAAAAGAAAGAAAATTCTTCCAAAATGTACTAATTAAACTTCTTTGCACCCTCATGTCATTCCATACGTCAGTGTAACCCAAAAGGAGATTGAAGAATTGCTCTTTTTACTACAGCTCTCATTCGTGCTTGTCATGTCTCTTTAATCTAGGAAATACACAAAGCGGTTTTCAAACAGGTTTCTCAAAACCCATGTCTACCATTGTTTGTCAAACAGATAGTCCTATCCCAAACTCGTACCATCTGTTGTGTTGAGTCAGTGTTACTGGTCGGGATGCTTAAACAGGGAAATGTTATGAAAGTGCCACTGAGTCAAAAAATTACACATTCAAGCTTTAAATTTTTGTCTTTTCCTCACACACAGCTATAATGTGACTTTAGAAGCCTTGGAATACCCTGCAAATCATATGGACTACTTTTAAGGTGTCATTTTAGCAGTTGGACAGTTCCTGGTCACTGTAAACTATCATTCAGAGGTGTGGGTTCAGTAAGATATTTATTAAACAAAAATTAATACTTTTATTCAGTAAGAACACATTAAATTGATCAAAGGTGACTGTGAGGACATTCATAATGTTACAAACGATTTCTATTTCAAATAGGCCTACTTTTTAAAAATACTTTAATAATCATGAAAAAATGTTCCCACAAAAATATTAAATAGCACAGGCTGTTGTCAACATTGATAATAATAAGAAATGTTTATTGAGCAGCAAATCCGCATATTATGATGATTTCTGAAGGATCATGTGACACCGAAGACCGTAATGATGCTGGAAATTCAACTTTGCCATTACAGGAATAAATTACATTTTAAAATTATTTTGTAATATTTCACAGTATTACTGTTTTTACTGTATTTTTAAGAGACCTCATTATATTGCAAAGAGCAGTGTGAAAATTTTTTCAGAATATCTTTTTTTGTGTGTGTATTCAAATGAGTTGTACAGGTTTAAACAACATGAGAGTGAGTAAAATATGACAGGATTTTATTCAAGCTCTGGTTTTGTAATTCCAGCTGTGTTTTTCTAAGTCTTCTGCAACCTTCACCAGTAAGTGTGCTAGGGAATTGTAAGTGCTTTCTTCACAAAGCTTCAGTGTAGCACTAAAGCAGCAATAGTGAACAATGAGCCTGGAGGAAAGGACTGGCATTGTGTGGAGAAATGGGGCTACGCTCTCTCTCCCTCTCTCTCTCTCTCTCTCTCTCTTGCTCTCTGACTACTGGTTGGGCCTGCTGTAGCTGGATCAGGCTACAGTAATAACCCCATCTACCAGGACAAGCCCAGCAGTGTGGAGGTGGGGGCTGGGAAGGCCTCCGCCCTGAGAAATAGATTTAATCTGAATTACTCCAGCAAAAAACCCAGCTGTGTGGTAGGAGGGGAAAAAATGTAGGGTGGTATAAATTTCTGCATGGATTAGGACATCTGCTTTGCAATCCAGAAATATATTGTGTAGATTCACTCCCATTGGTAGGTACCAGCCGGTTCTCTTTCTCTCTTAATTGTGAGAGCAGATGATGGAGACTGATGGTGAGATGGGATAATGGCCAAATATTTCTCATCTTAAAGAGCACTAACATGGGGCGCAGAGATTACATCCTGTGAGCGGGGGGTTTGCCGCCGCTATAGTTCCCACAGTACTGCAGCTTTTGAGCCTGTTCAACCAGTTCTCTAGTCAGAGTTGTCACCGTACACCTGCCCTTCACCTTATGTTTACACTGTAGACTAATGCTGAATTTCATTTTTGTTTGTTGTCACTCCACTAGGAGATGGAAAGGCCAGAGGACACGGAGAGCCCAGAGGTGGAGGACTATAGAAACAAGCCCAATGAGAACTCCTACTGCTACCAGCTGCTGCAGGAGCTGGACAAACAGCGCAAGAGCGGCATCCTCTGCGACGTCAACATTGTAGTGGGTGACCAGGCGTTCAAGGCGCACAAGAACATCCTGGTTGCTGGGAGCCGCTACTTCAAGACCCTCTACTGCCTGACGAAGAGTGAGAACTGCGACCAAACTACCATCACGCACTTGGACGTGGCCGCCGTGCAGGGCTTCTCCGTCATCCTGGACTTCCTGTACTCCGGCAACCTCTTGCTCACCAGCCGGAATGCCATCGAGGTGATGTCCGTGGCGAGTTACCTCCAGATGACCGAGGTGGTCCAGTCCTGTCGTGCCTTCATCAAAGACGCCCTCAACATCAGCATCAAGCAGGAAGCCCCTGATTCTGTGGTGGTCGACTACAACAAGCGGCGGACGGTGGCGAAAGACTGCCAGAGTGCCGACAAGAAGCCCAGCAACTTCTGGGCCACCAGCATCTTGTCCAAGCTGTCCATCAAGGCCAGTGGGCAAGTGAAGGATGAACCCAGTGACATAGAGGTGTCCGGTGGAGAAGGCTGCGCTTTGGGAAGCTCTGGTTGGGGCGGAGAGAACTCGTCAGAGTCTACGGAGACGGAGCCACAGGGTCCGGGGCCGGTGTTCGTCTGGAACGAGCCACATCCCGGCACTGGGGTCGCCGTCAAGAGAGAGGCGCACCCTGAGCCGGGCAGCGGAAGGCGGAAAAAACAGACCGCCAAGCGCTTCGTCTACAACATCCCACCTGAGCCGGAAGAGGGTTTTGACGAGGGCATGTTCATCCAACCGACTGCCTCTTACACCAGAGAGGACTTCTCTTATCTCTCAGAGAATGCCGGTACGTTACCCATCATGCCTTTCTCTTAAAAGAAACCATAAATAAGGGCACCATAATGGCTCTTCAAACCGAGTCCAATTCAAACCATCAGTCATAACCAATTTATGCGTCATTAAAAACACACCCAGCAAGTTTAAAAGAAAATGTTTTCATTTCCTTGTGTGCTGGAAGTGTCTATTGAGCTCTTTCAGGTCGTGGGAGTTTGGTTATTTGAATAGTCGCCGCCCTATTATGTAGACTCATCAGCATACTTCAGTGCTATCATTAGGTTTGTCACGTATGACAATGGTGTTTTTGACACCTCTCTCTCACACTCACACAAAGGCTAGTATGCATTACTGTGAAGCCTTTGGTAGTAGTATAATCAGTGTTTGTCAGAGGCACATCCAAGTGCACACACACAACAGTGAGTAGTGAACACACACACACACACCGTGAACACACACCCGGAGCAGTGGGCAGCCATTTTTGCTGCAGCGCCGGGGGGAGCAGTTGGGGGTTCGGTGCCTTGCTCAAGGGTCTCACCTCAGTTGTGGTATTGTGGGTGTGAGAGAGCGCTGATCATTCACTCCCCCACCTACAATCCCTGCCGGCCCTGAAACTCGAACCTGCAAACTTTGGGTTACATGTCCGACTCTCTAACCATTAGGCCATGGTCATGCCTCTTCCTAGGGGCATGTTCCAAATGGCAAGTTATCGTACTACTAGCACTGTTTGTGAATTTGATATGCTGAGTACCCACTATGCAAATTTTCAGCATGCAAATGGTTTACATTCGACTGTAAATTTCCATTCAAGTTGATTAGAAAAATGGCTCATATTTGGGAATGCGATTAGATCTTAGGTTGTTTACATTCATTTGAATGTGGTTATGCAATGTCTAACATGTTGTGGACAGCATGCTGTATACAGTATGTAATTTTCTAGAGGGCCTGATCAAAGCCTGCATATATACTGAAACATATTACCTGAAATGTATTACGTTTTTAACATTATTTGAGCTTAAAAAAACAATGTTTATGATATAGATCAAGTCCGATTTTATTGTTGATTTGAAGTATGTTATTTGAATGTGATACTGGCAACACAAGTCAACATTAAAATCAAAATGAACCTTTTTACGTCATTAATAATTAATGGTCAGTTTCACTGTGCAAGATTGATTAATACATGTTAAGAAATATTATATTTGTCTTCATAATCTTTTATCAAAAAAATGTAACTTGCACTGAAATGACTTTTCTGTTGACGTCATCAAGGTCGCTTAGGTTTCAACCAATGGGCATTGAAACTGTTTAAGGAGTCATGTAGTTCTTTTGACTGCAAATCTGGTATAAAATGCCCACTTTTCACGATACAAACTTACAATCCATATTCCCATCTTACATTTCTTTTTCTACATTATATTGTTTCCATACACTCAAAATGAAATGACGTTCTCAGCCAATTTTAACGTAGTTTCTACAGCTTGCACACTGTAGCTGTTGATTTTCCTGTGTATTGTAATTCTAAACTTTTTTCCACTCAGCTGATGTACAAAACGTTAGCTGATATGTTGTTACATCTTTTATTTTCAAGCAGGAATGTGCTAAATACTAAATAATAATACGAAAGCACGTTCTCGCCCATGTGCACACGCATAGATGTCTAAACCTTTAGCTGTGGCAGTCGGCTAACCATGGTCTCGCGTCATGATTGCTTGTCCTCAGGCCCTGTGCAGCTCAAGGCCGCAAGACCATCTTCTCTTTTTAATTAGAGTGGCCAGTCCGTTTTCTTCTGCCCTTATTAAGGGAGTCTGCCCTCCCTTCGCCTCATACCACAAAAACCTGCGTAATCTCTAGCCTGCCGAGCTGTCATGCTTCAAACTCTGCCCCCATTAAGAAGAGCGGCGCGTGGTATAGTATCATGTCTTAAGTGACGCGATTCTGAGAAGAGGCTTTCTCTCGCCATCGTCGACTCCTCTAATGCAGGATAATGAAGTAAAGCGGGGGAAAAGTTCTACCCTCAGGCTTCCTAAACGCCCTCAAATGCACTTAGCTCATATTCCTGAGGGCACTTAAATGTGCCGAGCTGACGGCTCACACCTGCAAGGCATGTGTGTGTCGCTGTGTTTGCCTACATATGCTTACGTACTCGCCTGTGTACTTGCGTCCATGTTGACTACCCACTTCCTTTTTCACACATTGGGCTTTTTCCGTGAAAGAGAATGTTGCTTATTGCTTAAACCCTGTCAGTTTATTACGTAAATAAAGTATGATTACTTCTAAAAAATAAAATCATAATGTATTTCAATAATAAACTATTCATTTCAACTTTTGACATAATTTGTAATATGTAATTAAAACATTTTTATAAGCACTCATAGTGTATAAACATGTTACATTTATAATAATTCTATTATAAATATTATGGGTAGCTCTGCCCACTGAGAAATGTCATTGTTTTGCTGTGTTTATATCCAGATAGCTCTACATTAGATATGTTTTAATTAGCAGAAGTTGTGTAAAACATTGTTATATTAGTATTTCTTCTATACTACTTTATCGCATTTATTAATAATTAGAATTGGCTTTTATTTTTGCACACTCTCAGGAAATAAATGTACAAAAGCGGTCACTGGGGTGGTACCTTTTCAAATGGTACACCTTTGTACCCCAAAAGTCCATATTAGTACCTAAAAGATACAAACGTGTATCTTTTGAAAAGGTACCGCTCCAGTGAGTATATTTTCAGTTTTCGTTTTAATTTAAGTTTAAGTGATTTTGTTCATTATTATTATTATTATTTAAATATTTTTATATAGATTTAACTTTATTTCAATTTTTAGTAATTTTAGTACTTAAACTTATTTCAGTTTTTGTCACAACAACAACATTTCTAATTTCCATGTAGGTTTAAGTAAAAATCAAATATATTCGATGGAAAAAAAGGTATTTTAGCTTTATTTCAATTAATATAAATACAATTACTACTACTAATAGTTTGTCTTAATTCCTTTCAGTCATTTTAGTACTTCAAACTTATTTCTTTTAGTTGCCAAGGCAGCATTTCTAATTTAAGTTTCTATTTTTTGTCTAATTTTTATTTTATTTCAGCTTTATTCCAATTATTATTATTATTATTATTATTATTATTAATAGTTTTTATCTCTTTCAGTTTTAGTAATTTTAGTACTTCAAAATTTATTTTTAGTACTTAAGATTTATTTCAGTTAGTTGCCAAGGAAGCGTTTCTAATTTTTAATTAGAAATTTTAAATAATTATTACATTTTTAATTAAAGTTTTAATTTATGTCTAATATTTATATTTCATTTAATTTGAATAGACATTTTATATATATTTTAATTAATAATAATAGTTTTAGTTAACAATAACAACACTGTTGTCACGTCATGTATCATTTTCACTTTTGGCGTGAACAGACAAATTACTTTTCGATAAACCTTTGTTGCGCTTGGATGAGTTCTGTCTGTTCTGTCTCACACATCACGCAGCAGGAGCCGTCACCATAAATGCTTGAGTTCTTTCCAAACAGGACGGTTGAATTGTTGATTTTCAGCAGTGACATGCACACACACACTACCCACGATTCCCTCTTCTGAGGTGCAGCGCTGCCAGGGGCCGTCCCGCCCTAATCCTGCTAATGCAGCCCAACTATCTCTGCCATTCCAAATATTGACCCAGGCAGAGTGGACCCACTGCAGAGGTACTTACAATGGATCTGACGGCTTTGGCCCGCCTGCCTGCTAATCCACAGTGTGCAAGATGATCCACTGTTAGGGCTTCACCCATTTATTTACATATCATATCTCCTCCGCACACCCATACACACACACATTTACAGTTGCTGCCTTACGCAAAGTCATGATCTTTACAAATAGACGCACATATTGGTGTGAAATTATCAAGGATTTATCCCTGATGTATGAGTGCGAACCGTAAAGGCCTGTTCACACTAAAATCGATAACTATATTAGCGTCCACACCAACGCACAATAACCTTATTATAAACATGCTGAAGTATGGTCGTCTACTATTTTAAATGCTCAAGCTCTTTAAAGCAGGGTGCATTTTGATTGGCTGATGATGTTTATATTGTTCATCAACTGGAAAAAAAATATTCTAAAAGAGATTCCAATGATATTGTTCTGCTGTCATTGTAGTTAAGGTATGGACTGTGCTATACTTTGAACAAATACTTTTTGTACTATACTTTGAACAATTTTTAAAACTGTGTTTTAATCGTTATAATTATTGTCGCTGTGAATGGGCTTTAAAGGGATAGTTCACCCAAAAATGAAAATTTTGCAATTAATTACTCAGCCTCATGTCGTTCCAAACCCGACCTTCATTCATCTTCAGAACACAAACTTAAAGATATTTTTGATGAAATCTGATTCTGAGAGCTTTCTGACCCTGCATAGACAGCAATAGAACTACCACATTTAAGGCCCAGAAAGGCAGTAAGGAAGGACATTGATAAAATGTCCATCTGACATCAAGAATTGTTCAGTAAAGTCGTTATTTTTGTTTTCTTTGCGCACAAAAAGTATTCTCGTAGTTTCATTAAATTACAGTTGAACCCCTGATGTCACATGGACTATTTTAACAATGTACTTACTACCTTTCTGGGACTTGAACGTGTCAGTTGTGTTGCAGTCTATGCAGGGTCAGAAAGCTCTGTGATTTCATCAAAAATATATTTTTTTATAAGTTTATGTTCTGAAGATGAACGAAGGTCTTACGGGTTTGGAACGACATGAGGGTGAGTAATTAATTGCAGATTTTTCATTTTTGGGTGAACTATCCCTTTAAGGCTGGAAAGTACAGCAACATCGAATACCTCACCAGTGTGTTGCAAACGTCAGTACTCAGAGGGAGGGATTGTTTTCTTCAAATGTAGTTATTTAGTTAGTGCTCATGCCTGCAAACGCGTACGTTCATTTAGTCACTTTTCGGACAACAACGATGTGTAGCTACTAGCTATAAGCATTCGTGTACTTGCGTAATTGAGTATATTTCAGGCCTAAGAGGCAATGCAGTGTTTCCTTGGGGGGTTGAGGTCAGTCTTAGCACTTATAGGGTGGGGTCGGTTAAAACCTTGAGCCCATTTACCACCAATCTCTCAGATCTGGCCTAGCAGGTTTCGTCCAGCCTACTGCGAGATTCCCAGCGAGAAGAGTCTCGCCATTTGCACATATGTTTATATGACTCAGGCCTGGCCATTGAGAATCCAAGTTAATCATTAACCATTTCAAGTACCAGCAAGCCCCTAGTAACAGTTTAAACTTTAATTTCAAGCCTGTCGACTCAAACAAACGGCACAGCTGCTGTCAGGCCTTCTTTAGCCCGCAAGGTGGTGTTTAGAGCCTCGATTGAATTCCCAGGTGATCTGGCTCTCGTCACCCCCTTGGAAACCTGCTTGACGACCCTTTGTTTTGTCCATTTTGGCTCAAACAAAGCTGGATCCCACCCCCCAATCCCACATGCTGTAGTACAGGCAGCTCCGGTCTAATTGTCACAAGACACTGCTCCCAAGAGAGCTTGAGTGTTGGGATGAATCTTTTCAGAAGCGAAAAGCAGAGATTGCAATTTATACACACTATACAGTAGTTTCTCCCAGATAAACAATTAGGCTGTTTCTGAATGTATCTTTGTGGAGAGGAATGGTGGCTAGAAGGAAAGAGTTCTTGCGTTTTATACAGCTTGTTTATCAGTAGAAAATCGCATTAGACTAATATAGTTATGGCTTCTGGCATGTGGTTTCCATAGCAACTAGCACATTTTCACAGCATTTTTAACATTTTTTTATGTGAGGGTGACACTGAGGGTACATACAGGCGTTTATACACGCTAATTTTCTCTCCTAAGCCACACAAAGCCACTTTTTTTTGCACGTCACGTGTCACAAAACTGACAATTAGAGCTGATAACGCAAATGGAGAAAATTCTGCCTCTGACAAGACGAACTGCATCTGCTGGCTTGGCAGATCTCATGCTGAATTGTTTATATCTCAGGAACCGGTGTGAAAAGTGCTGAGAATCTGTTTGTTTGTGTGGTTTCTCCTAGGCGAAGCGCCTGAAAACGCCCTCAATAAGCTGAAGTGTCCCCACTGTAACTACATTGCCAAGCACCGGCGAACACTAAAGAGACACTTGATCATCCACTCGGGCGTGCGCTCCTTCAGCTGTGACATCTGCGGGAAGCTGTTCACTCGCCGAGAACACGTCAAGAGACATTCCCTGGTAAGACAGAAGCACGAGTGTTTATAGTGGGTGAATCTCAGAAAAACATTTCACCCTAACATCTATAGAATAATTATTTCAAGAAAACAAAGCATATTTTTAAACCACTACGTACTTTTGCATTGGGACAATTTTCATGTCAATTGAGCATATTTTCCTCCATATTTCCCCCCAAATTACATTAATTCATTTGGATGTTTTTATTTGAAAACCTTTTTTTGTCTCAGCATACATATCGTTTATAAAGTATACAATTTCATTATAATTAAATAATTATATGAAATTACAGTTATAAATAATATATATAAACATTTAAAATCTATTAATATTAATATTTCTATTGTTTTATATTACATACATTTTAAATGTCTTTGTTATAAAACTGTCACTAACGATTATTTTGGTAATCAAGTAATCAGTTGATTATTCTGATCATGATTAATTGAGTAATCGGATAATTATTATTTTATTTTTTTTTGTAATACAAATAGACCTAAGCAAACAATAGCTTTTAAGATTACTTAAAATATATATATATAATGGCAATGAGACAATAATAATTAGTTCAAATAAAGTATCAAAACCAAGTAATCATATGTTTTTATTGAACAAAACTGTTAAAATACATAATGTATTATAAACAACAGAGCTAACATACTTTTCGCATTATAACAAATGCCTGCAGAGGGCGCCAACGACCTGACAGTTGTTTTTACACTTTACAGCGCTATCTAATCCTTGTTTAGTATTGACTAAACAACATTTAATTCAAATGTCCACATTATCTTTAATATTTGGCCATTACTTTATGACAGAAATCCTACAGCCAATGTAATTTCTTAAATATGCGGACATCAAAACGTGTTAACAGAGTGAAGGTTTAAACTTTCTTTTTTGTTTTGTTTAGTTTGAAATCATGATGAACAGTTAGCTTAGATGTTATAATAAATGCAAACTCACAGCAATATGCAGAGATGGAGTTTGAGATGGTCCTCTCATGTACATGATAACAGTGGAAAGCGCCATTTCCGGTATTTTGCCGGTTACTTGACACAGGCAAAATGCAATCAAGGATTTGTTTAAATTTTCGTTTTTATATAATATAATTTTTTTTTGCATTTACTTTTTGTATTTACACGTGCATTTATATATGTCATAATTGCATATAATACACAGTATATGATATAAAATATTATTTTATTTATACATATGTGACCCTGGACCACAAAACCAGTCTTAAGTCGCTGGGGTATATTTGTAGCAAAGTCCTATCCTAACAAAATAAGCTTATTTATTCAGCTTTCAGAAGATGTATAAATCTCAATTTTGAAAAATTGACCCTTATGACTGGTTTTGTGGTCCAGGGTCACATATATTTTATTTGCATTACGCTAATGACAATTCCCCAATGGAAATGCTTAATTATTATGTTTGCGTTCCTAAGAAATTTCCTTGCGTAATATAATGTTTTATTTATGTCCTTTGATTTTGGAGTGACATGATAGACATTCTTGAGAGGTTTTACAATATTCACCCACAGGCTGATTTCATTCACAATATTGCAGTACTCACTAATGTTATCTTTCTTCACTCACTAATATCCCTGTCCATGACATTCATTTGCAGGTTCACAAAAAGGATAAGAAATACAAGTGTATGGTATGCAAGAAGATCTTCATGTTGGCGGCCAGCGTGGGTATACGGCACGGCTCTCGGCGCTACGGTGTGTGCGTGGAGTGCGCCGACTCCCACCAAGGCACGCAGGAGGGTCTGGAGGGCATGCAGGACCTGGAATTCGCCCGCGACGATGACTTTGACGAGGCCGGAGAGGGAGACGAGGACATGGAGGCGGAAGGGGAGGAGCCCAATGAGATTGACCAATCCAACTGCGAGGGTGATGCGGGTGCCACCCCCGAGAAGGACTAATTTAGACATAACCTGGTAGAGAAACGAATCAAAATGCAAAGAAAAAAAAAATAGCTGGGAAACAATCAACAATTCCAAAGTGCTATCAAACCTCTTTGTTGCACGTGAAGTTATGTCAAAGAGATATATAGCTTTGTTAGAGAGGGACTCCAATATTTAAAGATTGTTCTGTGTGTCAGAGTCTGGGCCATGTGCCTGTCAGAGAAAGAGGTGTAATGATATATAACAAAAAAAATCAGGTTTTTCTGTGATGTATTTTTTTTTTTCTTTTGTAGGGGATGAGGGTGTACAGCGTTTCTGAGTTATAATAGGCCAATCATATTAAAAGAAATATTAATTATTTAATTTATGAAGAAAGATATTATGGTCTTATGAAAATGATAGAATTCGATTTTTTTTTTTTAATGTATGTCTGCTTATTTTCAGTTCATAGCTGCGCTTCCTGACAGACCTGATCGTATATTGCTCAGAGGAGGAGCTCAACAAAGAAGGAGCATTATAGAAATTCCGCTTACAGGAAGATTTTTTATTTTTATTTTTTTTCCGTGTGTGTATTTCCTTTCTAGGTAAATGTTGTCATGAAATTTTATGAAATATATAAATATATATATATTTTCCTTTTCCCTGCACAAATCTTGGAACCAAAAATCTGTTTTGTGACTCTAATTGACCACAGCCATATTTATAATTAAGTTATATGGGGCTGTTAGATCGTGCCAAGCAGAACGCACACCAAGATTTTTTGCAGGACACAAAACTACTGAAAATGCTGAGAGAACATAAAGCAGAGAAATATAAAAAGAGAAAGAAAGAAAAAAACAGAAAAAGAGAAAATGCTAAAATATAAGGGGACTATATTATTGCTAGCTTTATTTGAATCACAGCATCACAGTAACACTTTATAAGCATTTTGACATTCACTTAAAGCTTGAATTTTGCCAAATGATGGAAACGTTTGGTGCTGTAACGCTTTTATTTTTATTATTATTTTTAAATACTGGACCTACAAGCTGTATATGATGTTAATAATCGTAAAGCCTACTCAACTCAGTTATACTAATCAGCTTTGTATTTTACACTGTTGCGCTAAGGAGCCTATCAGGTATGCTTTTCTGTTTTTAACGTCTTTTCTATGAAATGCACATACACACACACACACAAACCATTTGTTGTTGTTAAAACTACTGGCAGTACTTGTACAGATGGAACGACCTGATGTTCTTGACCCTCCTGAGTTGGTTAGTGGTACTGAGCTTACTTTGAATCACTTGAACGACCTGTGTACTGTTTTTGAAGAATGCAGATGGAAAGAGGTGGTTTGCAATAGACTCCCAAACATCGTTTTGGTCCCCTGTAATATTTGCGATCATTTCGGTTTCGTTTATTTGGACTTTGACGTGTGTCTGCTGAGTGAAAAACACTTTGCTTGTGCTAAAGTAGAACGGAAGGTCTATGGAAGTACATAGACGGGCACTTACTGTTCTGCGTTTGATAATTTCTTATTTCCCCAAAGCCGGTCTGGATGGAAATAAATCGAAACTGTTATGTTTTATTCCATACTGAGCTTTTTTTTAATTTTTTTTTTATTTTTGACATTTCATTATTTAATGCTATATATGTATTGACTCCAAAATGCAATCAAGACTGTTAATTTTTATTTGTCCTACCAAAATCGTTGTTTAATTGTTAAAGATAATGTGTAAGAAATCCAGGTAAATATTTAGTGTAGATCCTTGCTTATGTATGTCGTCAGATTTAAATGTTTTTATTCTAAAGTCAATCATTCACTTTACCCTTAGATGCTTATATTGTTTTATTTGTCCTACCTTTTGAGGATTTATTTTGATTTTGTTCATCCATTGTGTTTTTTTATTTCATTTTAAGCACATATTTTTTAAGAACTATTGTTTGTGGTTAATATCTAGGAGCAGGAGTTTCTGTTCATATGCAGTGGATATATTGAAGTGCTATACTGATACAGAAATCGTCTATCTTTCCCTTTACTCAAGATGAAAGTGTATTTTAAAAGCTGTATAGAAGATCCTGTTTGTATTGCTTACCACTTGCATATGCACAGTGAATTGACATGAATTAGCATTATTTGTATTTAATGTAATGCAGGTATGTGTTTTTCCTGCACTTTGGCACTGAAATCTCAATTTCCTCTAAACGTACATGAACCAAACTTTGCTAAACATTGTCACAGTAATGTTATTTAAGATACTGCAGAATGATATGTTTATATTTACTTCCTTATTTGTTTCACGATTTGTGCAAACATGGGCAAAATGACATAACTACTGTTCATCATCTGGTGAATACTTTTGAACTATGATGTCAGTCAAATAGAGGAAGTTGTCAAAGGAAACCCCCCCAAACATTTGGTGTTTATGTGAGAGCCCAGGATGTTCCTCTTCAGGATACAGCAGGACTGATGAGAAGTTCTTAGATGTGATTCTATATTTCATATTTCATTATCTCCTCATGCCGTCATCACTTCTGTATCACACTGCACTACCATCTAGTGGACATTCCCCGAAATTGTACTTTATGTTAAATTAATTTTTTTAGCGACAGACGTTTGATTTTTTTTATTTTTTTTTACTTATTTACATTTAAAGCACAGAAAAAAAACTTTAGGATTTTCAAGTAATATTTTTATACAATTTCGTCTAATGGATCATGAACTATATTTCAGTTAATTGTAATCCAAAAAGAAAGTAGCAGTGGAGTGTCAGTTGTTACAACAATTTCGCTACTAAACACACACACACACATGTCTGGTCAGCTATCCTTGTAGGGACTCTCCATAGGCGTAATGGTTTTTATACTGTACAAACCGTAACATTTTCTATCGCCCTACACCCAAACCTACCCCTCACAGAAAACTTTCTGCATTTTTACTTTCTCAAAAAAAGGCTGCCTCAATTTATTTGATAATGATTTATTTGAACATTGGTAGTTGCAGCTTTGTAGTCTACATGTTGCCAAAACTGTTTGGTGTTAATTAACATGCCTTGATTTTACATTACGTGTTTACATTTTGTTTTAGTATAATGGTGATGACAGAAGGCTGAAGACAGTCTGACAGTTTGACTCCTCATACAGTCCCATTTCTGTCCACTAGATGGCAGACAATTACTTTCTTTCACAAAGTCAGATAACGTTTCAAAGATTTTTGTTAATTTTCTCTTTATTTTTACAAAATTATGGCATTATCACTCAGTACCCCTAAAACCACCTGTACTTTATATAGAATAAAACTAAAAATATCCAGGAAAAAAAGCCAATATCAAGGTCAACCTTCAAACACAAGCTCTTCTTTTCATAAATGACAATCAAACAGGTGAGTTTCATAGTTTTGAAAATGTTAATTATGCTTATTGTTTGTGTTACAACCATGTAGATTAATCCAAAACAATTCCCAGATACATAAAGTTTATTTTCTGTTTCGTTTCTTTGTTCAGATAGATAGATAGATAGATAGATAGATAGATTTCGTTCAGTGTTATACATTTAGTCCTATACATTGTTTTTATACCTATCTATCTATAATATACATTGTTCTATCTATCTATCTATCTATCTATCTATCTATCTATCTTGATTTTGGGCCTAAAGGCCTAAAATTATTTTTCGAGTAAATTTGCAAGTGTGTTTGTTTGGCCAAGTTCATTCATCTGAGTGAATGTTTGTGTATATACGTGTGTGTTTGTTTATGCATGGTGTGAGTGAGTGTGTGTGTGTGTGTGTGTGTGTGTGTGTGTGCGCTGTTCAAACATGCCCCTGGGCAGCCACACACTGGCTCATTCTGCTGGCTGTGTGAGAATGGATGGCTGCTTTTGTGTGGGTGTCTGTCAGTGCTGTTGTTTGAAGCTGGCCCCATTGTGCCCGACCACTGTCCCTTATTGACACAGGACCTTCTTTTTGCCTGTTCCCATGCTCCGACCCTCTGGCTTGGCCCGTCAGCGCCTGAAACCGGATCCTCTGAGCAGCGCAACGGTTGCGTTCCCTCTTTCTCTCTCTCTCTATGTCCTGGTGCTATTGTCTGCTGTCGTATTTCATTCTAAAGTGTGGTTTGGCAAATTAAAGAGCAGCAGGTAATGGTGCGGTCACAGCTGCAGTTGTTGACGGTGGCCTGTGGCGGCCGTTTATTGAGAGCAGGAGTGAATGCTTACGGTCGGTTTCCCTCTCTTTTGTGTCTTCTGTTGCATGCGGTTGTGTCCTCTGTGACGGCATAGTTTCACAGGAGCTGATGAGGTCAGATAGAGGACGGGGCTGAGACTCAGGCAGTTTTGAAGGTATGTGGGGAGATTATCGCCGGGACCTCCCATGCCGTCAGAGGCAGGTGGGATGGATCGCAGGTGTTAACTTGAAGAACAATCTCAGCTGGAGTGCTTAGGCTCATGGGTGCTGGGATTTTGGGGACTTCAGGGGCTATGCACTATGCAGATGTGTAATGAATAAAACATAAAAAATAAAAACATAAAATAATTTTTTTTTTAATTCTCCACCTCCTACCCGAAAATGTTAGCTTTCGACCTGATCTGATCAACAAATGTGTGTGTGTGTGTGTGTGTGTGTATTTAGGTTGATTTGGTGATGCTAAATAATAAAATAATTTATATGTGACCACATGAAGTACTTTTTTAAGGTTAACATTTTTTCAGTTGAAAATATACTTTATTTAGGAACATCTAAGAACTATTTCAAGTCGATATGATTTAATATGACTGAATCAACTTCTAGCAGATTACCTCACACCAATTAAATTCATTTTTAAGGGTCAGACTAGAAAGAGAAATTTATTGCAGTGATTAATAATCGTCGATACATCAATCATGCTGTTTATGTATGCTGGTATTGACACAATATCTGTAACAGCTGCATCACAATATGTACATCATAAATTTTATTATGGTAAAATCAAAATGTTATGTTAAAATTTCAAAAATGTTATCATTTATTTAAATATTATATATTTCCTTTTCTGTGGCTCACCCCATATATGTAAAAAAAAATGTAATAATATAACAATGAAACTGCCTGGTGATATTTCACAATGGAGTTTCCACAGTAATAAGGTACTTAAAAATTCTGAGACACTAATTATAAGATTAAAAAGTGGAAATTGTGACAAAAAAGTGAAAAGCATGAAACAAAAAGGGGAAATAATGAGATTAACAGTTTAAATTATGACATAAAAAGTGAAAATTAGATAAAAAGTTGAATTATGACTTAGTATGTCATCATTTCAGCAGTTTTATTCCAAGATTTCCATAATTTTTTATGTCATAATTAGGATGCTTCATGTCATAATTTTGATTTAACAAAGCCTGATTTATTTCACAATGGAGTTTCCACAGTAATAAGGTACTTAAAAATTCTTAAAAATGGAAATTGTGACAAAAAAGTGAAAAGCATGAAACAAAAAGGGGAAATAATGAGATTAACAGTTTAAATTATGACATAAAAAGTGAAAATTAGATAAAAAGTTGAATTATGACTTAGTATGTCATCATTTCAGCAGTTTTATTCCAAGATTTCCACTTTTAACCTCATAATTTTTTATGTCATAATTAGGATGCTTCATGTCATAATTTTGATTTAACAAAGCCTGATTTTCTTATGTGGTGGAAATGAGCTTGTAAACATATTGTTATGAATGTGTCTTATTTAATTGTGAGTTTGATGAGAACGGCTGAATTTGCTGTGTTCAGCAGTAATATCATTGGAGAGTCTCTTCCATGTGACTCATGAGGAATCATGAATGCTGCTGTTTCATTTCTTTTCCATGGACTCTGCTGCTTTTGTGAGAAAAGATGTGAGCGATGTGAGAGATCTGTCTGTTATATATTCGTGTGGGAGGAATTTCTTGGCCTGTGTCACAAAAGCGGCTTCGGTTCACACGCTGGAAGGATGTTCAGTATTGTGAATCACGGGGATCAGTTTTGAAGAGCCGTCGCTCCCCTGCACTGGCACACTGGGGGCATTAGCATGTGAAAAAGGAGGAAATAAAGTTGTCAAGTTCGCTCAGTCCACACCGCCTCCTCCCCCCGCA